GCAACTTTTGTATGTTTTTGAAGTTTTCCATAATAAAAGGTTAAGAAGCCTACATTTTTCTTTTGTGTCCTGATGGCATGAGACTTCCCTAAGTACCTCACTAAAACCACAGAGCCATAGCACTCACATCATTTCTCTGAGCTACCAGCTAGTAACTGCACCAACAGAGAAATAACAATAACAGATATTTGTTAAGCACTTACTATGTACAGAAACAATGCTAATTGCTCTTTATATATTCTTTAATTTTTCCCCAAAGCCCATTTAAAATTTTTTTCTATTAAAACAATATATTTCTATATTTGTATCAGTTAAAATACTGTGAGAATCACTCCATAGTATCTAAAGATATTAAAATTCCTTTTGATGGCTGCATAGCATTCTGTTGTGTGAATCTGTCATAGTTTATTCAACTGAGGTTTAGCTTGTCCACTATCACTGAGCTGGTGTAGCCACGATTAGAACCAAGATTCAGCTGACTGCAAAGCTGTATTCTACACTAGGACTTCCCAAACTTCAAGACATATATGGGTCATTTTTAGCTCTTGCTAAAAATGCAGAAAGGGTGGGTGTGGGGTGGGGCCTGAAATTCTGTATTTCTTAGAAACTACTAATTATGCTAAAGAAAGGCCAGCCTGGAACACTGGATCTCAACCTTAACTTCACATTGGAATCACCTGGGGATTATTAAACACTACTGATGCTTGGTCCCACCTGCAGAAATGCCAACTTCATTTGTCTGGGTTGCATGTGGCCTGGCTATCTTTTCCCCCCCAAAGCTCCCCAAGTGATTACCATATGCAACCTGGGATGCAAACTGTCCCAGAAGTCTACTTGTTTTGAGGAATTCTTCCACCATCACTAACCTACTGATTACCCAGCTGGCTCCTAGGCAGGAGTTGATTGCCATCAAGTGACAGCTAATTTAGAGCAACCCGGTGCCATATTACACCCTGCTCCAATGACCTTATCTGGAGTTAGTTCTACTTTCACAGATGATGGCCCACTGTGTGCTGTCACGTATCTATTAGGCTGGGGAAGAATATACAAAAAATAAAACAGCTTCTTCTTTCAAGGTGTTTATTACCCATCTGCTTTTCTCCTTGAGGTAAGCCCCAGAAACAGTAAGAAGAATAGAGAGTGCTGGTTTATGGGCTGAAAGCACCCTTTTATTTTTCTGAGAGACAGAGATAGGAATCAGATAGTAATCAAAATACCATATTTTTAAACTTCTGAATATGGTTTTAGGCAGATGGCTGAGTGCTCAAGTCTTGAATTTGATAGTCTTCTCAGTGGTTCTGGATACTTCAGGCCTCCCCCGATTCCCACAGGGGGGGCCTCTTACCAGGTGACAGCTAGCAGACCAGACAACACACACTCCACAAGCCCCTCCCCGACAACCACAGGGAAGGGAGTTAGGGCCCCGCAAAACATGCCCAGTTCCTTCTCAAATTTATCAACCGTATAATACATTCCCCCTCCTATGGTGAGGGAAGTTTCCTTACTTTGCACCACACAGGCAGCTGCCTCCTTTGGCACGCGCAGCGTCAGCCCCACTGCCTTATGATAGCTGTGCACAAAGCAGGAACTCAATGGCTCTTTAGGTTTGTCAGGTTGATTTGTTAGCTTTCCAGAACCCTAGCTGCTCTAACTTTTGCAGTGTCCAGGAGAGTTAGGCCTCTATGCAAACCTTATCCTTCAGTATTGGTAGGTGTTTTGGAGAGATTTTTATTTAAAAAAAAATTTATTTTTATTGATTTTAGAGAGGGAGGGAGGGAGAGAAAAACGTCAATGTGAGAAATACATTATCAGTTGCCAACATATTTACTAGTAACCCAACCTGGATGGAACTGCAACCTAGGTATGTGCCCTGATCAGGAATTAAACAGGTGATCTTCCAGTGCATGGGACGATGCTCCAACCGAGCCACACTGGCCAGGACCCATGTATTTATTTTTACAAATTATTAGATTTGTTCGGAGTTTACGGTTAAGATCTCACTTATTTGAGCCTTTTTTAAAAAAGTTATTGATTTTAGAGAGAGAAAGGAAGGGGAGAGAAACATCGATTTGTTGTTTCACTTACTTATGCATTCATTGGTTGATTCTTATATGTGCCTTGACTGGGATGGAACCCACAACTTTGGCATATCAGGATGATACTCTAACCAACTGAACTACCAAGCCATTTGAACTTTTTAATTTCAAATTTAAGGTATTTCAGACAGGGACAATTTTGACTTTTCTTTGATTCAGACACTCAACCAAAAATATTCATTAAAGCCCTAGCCGGTTTGGCTCAGTGGAAAGAGTGTTGGCCTGCGGACCAAAGGGTCCTGGGTTTGATTCCGGTCAAGGGCATGTACCTCGGTTGCAGGATCCTCCCCAGCCTGGATCCTGGTTAAGGTAACCAATCAATGTATTTCTCTCACATCGATATTTCTCCCTGTCTTTTCCTCTCTTTTCCACTCTAAGAAATCGATGGGAAAATATCCTTGGGTGAGGATTAAAATAAGTAAATACATTAAGAACACTGTGCGAGGCCTTCTGGGCACAGTGACAAACCAGTGATACAGGGTCCTTGCCTCATGGAATTGCAGTCTAGAGGAGAGATGGGCAAATGAGAGGGAAGAATCAAGTTACACAGGGCAATAGCAACGGTAATACTATTAAGAGAACTAAGGAAAGAGGAACTGTTTAAAGGAAAAGAGGACAAACCTGTTTTCAGAAAGCCGATGCTTTTACAAAATGTTTATTTGGGAGTGAAATATTAGCTCTCAAGCTTTCAAAATGGAAAGAATTATCATCTTCATTGCTGTTAATATAACAGAGATGCAAGTGATTTTTATACCGAGATGAATTTTGCGCAGTATCTGAGGAACAAATTCTGTGAAAAAAGGGTTCCATGGTCAATTACATTTGGAAGATAGCTACATACCTGTTTCCTCTTGGAGATTCAACATGCTCTTCAGCATATTAAAAGCTTTAAAACACTGCTCTAGCCCTAGCTGGTTTGGCTTAGTGGATAGAGCCTTGGCCTGCAGCCTGAAGGGTCCCGGGTTTGATTCCGATCAAGGGCACATGCCCTGATTGCTGGCTTGATCCCCAGTAGGGACAGTGCAGGAGGCAGCCAATCAATGATTCTCATCATTGATGTTTCTCTCTCTCCCTTCCTCTCTGAAATCAATAAAAATACACTAAAAAAAAATTGCTCTAAACTTTATCTCATATCTCCCAAGCTTATTTGAGCACACACTGCTTTTCTAACAATTATTAAAGTGCAAAACTACTAGTGGTTACCTAGTAATAGTATTCAAGTCCGGGATATTTAGTCAAAGATAGGCTTTGTTCTTGAAAACTAAGAGAAAATTTCAGTCCTTTCAATACTTGGGAAGGAATAGCATTTTCCATATCTAGGAAACTCTTCGGTCTAAACTCATTGTTATTTCATCTTGAATTTTCTTTCTTTGTTCTTCTGAGAAAAGTTGAGCCTTATTTGTGAAAGCAGGCAATAGTACTTTTATATTGCCTGTGAGCTCTGGTGAGGCCATCACAAAGCCACATGCTAGTTACACACACACACACCACCATCTCTACCCTTCTTCAGAAGTGAACTCTGGGATCAGGGGCCAGGTATTGGAAGAATGTTTAGAGGCTTGAGAACTTCATATTCTTCATTTCTTTGCCCTTTGGGAGACACAGTAGGCAAGGTTTTCCCAAATTCCCACCAATACACTCAGGAAAAAAAGGCCTTGTGTTTGAAAGGGGCCTGAGCTACACCCTTCATTTTCCTGGCACCAGTGGAACCCAATGAAAGAATCTGGTTAGTTCCTTTGAAGCACAATGCTTACCATGACCCTAGTGCTTCTTATTTTGGTTGTACACCAGAAAATTAGCTTCTCCCCAAGGGTAAATAATTGAGAGAAGTGATAAAGAACTTAATAATAACGCTCTCCTTGAAAAATAAACTATTATGCTTGGCCGGTGTGCTCAGTGGTCGAACGTTGACCCATGCACCAAGAGGATTCCTGGTCAGGGCACATGCCCAGGTTTTGGGCTTGATCCAGTATGTGGAGGAGGCAGCCGATCAATGCTTCTTATTGATGCTTCTATCTCTCTCTCCTCCTCCCTTCCTCTCTTTAAAAATCAATGAAAACATATTAAAAAAACTATTATAATAACCACAGAAAAGGAAACCTCTTAATTGCTACTTTCATTTAGAGGCTATGAAAACACACACACACACACACACACACACACACACACACACAAAACACCTAAACTTAGTCATGGGTTTACTTTGCTCCAAGGCAAATCTTCAATTTCTCTTGTAAAAAAGTTTTATTTAAGCATAATACACATACAAGAAAACTGTACAAATCAAGTGAACATCTTAATGAAATACTACAAAGCGAACATACCCACGTAACTACCCCCATACCAAAGAAACTGAACATTACCAACGTCTATAAACTTACCTGCTATCCTCTCATCAGTTCTCTCCCCTTTCCCCAAGAGCAACCATTATCCTGACTTCGAATATCATTTATTGATTTTTATTTTTTAAATATATTTTTATTGATTTCAGAGAGGGATAGAAACATTAATGATGAGAATCATTGCAATATCATTTATGAATATTGACCTTCATGTAGATGGAATCATATAGGATACATTCTTTTTTTTTAAAAAATATATTTTATTGATTTTTTTACAGAGAGGAAGGGAGAGAGATAGAGAGTAAGAAACATCGATGAGAGAGAAACATTGATCATGATTTCAGAGAGGAAGGAAGAGGGAGAGATAGAAACATCAATGATGAGAGAGAATCATTGATTGGGTGCCTCTTGCATGTTCCACACTGGGGATTGTACCCGAAACCTGGGCATGTGCCCTGACCAGGAATCGAACCATGACCTCCTAGTTCATAGGTCAATGCTCAACCACTAAGCAAAACTGGCCGGGCTTAAAAAACTAAAAAAACACACACAAAACAATTGATTTGAGAGAAAGAAATGATCGATTTCACTTATTCATGCATTCATTGGTTGCTTCCTGTATGTGCTCTAAACCAGGGATCAATTTGCATTTTTGATTTAGGGTTATATACATCTTGCCTAACTGCAAGTAGTATATGCTTCATTTGTTATTTTGGATAAACTTTAATGATAGCCACAGATTGTCAGCAAGTTCACAGATACATTAGAGAGTGAAGACACACATATGTATTTAAGAGGAGCAAAAGCCTTCCAGTGATGTATTGGACTTTCACTGAATCCATGCCTTCTTTTGATTATTATAAGGCAGAGTAGCTATCTTCTCAGAATTCTGTCTGGTTTCTGTCATTTTTAAAATCCTGTGTACCTCTGGGTAAACTGCCTCATCATCCAAATGCTGCTGGGAGGAATAAATGAGATGTAAAAGGCACTCTGTAACCGGTAATAAAACATATTTTCAGGTGTGGTTTTGAAATTCATCTTGACAGCCTCAGATGATGATGATTCTTTGATTCCCTCAGGATGATCTATGGGAGCTCACAGACTTGGATAGAAGCTTCCTCAGGTCAGGAGGCCCATATGTGTACTTTTTGTAGTGGTGGGGGGGTGGGGGGGGAGGAGGCAGAAAGATTGGCACTGCTGGGCACTGAGACTTGGAAGAGTAGTTACAGTTGTTCTTGGTTCCTGCAGATGAGAGAGAATCATTGATTGGGTGCCTCTTGCATGCTCCACACTGGGGATTGAACCCAAAACCTGGGCTTCCTGCAGGAACTGGAATTTCCAGAGTTAGGAAACTGGGGTTCCAGAGTTATTCCTACAGTGAGGGGAGCAAGTTTGCAGTGAACATGGTAATTCTACTCAACCGGCAAGAGAAAAGCTCATCTTCCTGGTTCAGTCGGCTACTAGCAGTCATTACGGGGAAATAAGGGCTATCAACCAAGGGCCATTAAAATCCCCCAGGGGAGGTACTTAGGAAATAATTAGCAAACGAGATAACCCCATGGTCCTGTAACTGACGGAATGAGGGAATGCCTTGAAAGTTGGGGGAGGGATGGGGGCAGGATCCTAACAGGCTTGTGTAACCTCTGGGAGAGGGGGTGCTGGAAGGGCCTTTGGTGGACGTGAGAGGTCGGGATCTCAGGACTGGAGGTGACCATGTTCTCGCCCCCAAAAGTGAAGGCAATTAAGATGTTAAAAAAGCACCCTCTTCCCCCCAGGCTCCAAGGCGGCCCCCAAATCTTTCTATGTCCCCTAGGGCACTACACAGAAAGGGGGGACCAGACTCTCCTTAAAAAAAGACAGCCATACTTCCCGGGTCCCACGTTCTCTCCACTACAGGAGAATGGCGAAGGATCTATAAACCCACCTCTTTCTTCCAGTTGTCATAGAGACCAACCCCAGTCCTATCATTCCTTCTGGTCCCGGGAACATTTCTCCAGCGCAGGCGGAATGAAGGGGGTTTAGCCCGAACACGCCAGTGGCGGTGCCGGGGGAGGGTGGTAGTGAGAAACGGCGCAGAGGGGCTGGAGTCCTCCCTACACGGCAGCGGAGGGACCAGGCGAGGGACAAAGGCTCAAGCCAGCCGCAGTTGCAGCCCTTCCGTCCGCCAACAGACGCTGCGGGGCACGGCCTGGCGTGGGAGCGCGCGGCGGCATCCCGGGAGAATTCTGGGTTCCCGGGGCGCCGACCTCTCCGCCCAGGGTGGGGGCCACTCCACCCACGCGTCCATAGGGCGGCGCCGCCATCGCTCCCCTGTCAGCCCCACCGCCTTTTCCTCCTCCGCCGATCCCGGATCCCCTCCCCCGCTCCCTGCACCGCCCCCCGCCCCGTCCTGAGAGTCTTTCATTGGACGAACTTGCAGTCAATCCGCCTCGAGCCAGGGAGCCGATTGGACACGAGGCCTGCGGGCTGCCCCCAGCCCGCTGGGATTGGCTTGCTGCGCGTTGTCGCAACGGAAGAGGCGGCCGGTCGAGGGTGCGCCTCTGCTCCGGCTGGACTCGCCGAGGAGGCAGCGAGGGGCTGGCTTGGGCGGCAGCAGCGGCTGCTGCGGATGGGAGCGGGCCGGCTGCGTGCGCCCATGGAGCGCCACGGCAGGGCCGCCGCTCCCTCCGCCTCGTCGACCCGGGAACCGGCGCCCGAGGAGCCAGATGGGCGGGGGCAGGAGCCGCTGCGGCGCCGGGCGAACAGCACGTCGGTCCCCGCGGCCGGGACCTCGGCGGAGGGAGCCAGGCGGGACCGGCACGGCTCCTACAGCGGCGCTACCTCGGCCTCCCGCCAGCGCGTGGAAAGCCTGAGGAAGAAGCGGCCGCGTAAGTGCCGGGCGGGGCGCCCTCGCGGCTCGCCCTGCCCCCTTCCGGCACGGCCGCCGTTTTTCCCGCGCGGTCGCGGGGGGACAGTGCCCCCGCACGGTGGTCCCAGGTTGGTGCGTGGGCAGAGGGCGGGTTGGAGGCCTGGGGCCCCCACACACGCCGGGGCTTCGGGGTTCGGCCCTCGGGCGCGGTACCTGCTGGTCGGCGTGGAGGGCTCCTTCCCAGACCCCTCCTCCCTCTTAGCTCCTCGGGCGTTCTTGCACCGCGAGTCGCAGGATTTCATCTTGGAGAAGGCTTCTTCTGACTCGTCTCCATTCCCTCCTCCCCCCAAATCCTTTGAATCCCCCATGTCTGTCTTCTGTGGATTTTCAAAGAGCTGCTCTCCAAGACGTTACATCTTTTTTTTGTCTGGAAATTTCGGGCTTCATGGAACATGCTTAATTGACCCTTGAGTTGCTGCAAGGCTAAGACTGGATTCCGTGTTCTGTGCACTAAGCTTTGGCTGTACCCTCCCCCTCCCCGTGAGAATTCGGGTCATCTTTCACCCAGTTACCTCCTCTTTATTCTTTACATCTATTTGCCGGTATTCACAGTTCAGGACTGGAGCATTCTGGGCATTAAGGCTTTTTTTGTTTGTTTGTTTTGAGGGATTCTAATCTTTCTGAAGCTCGCCCCGGGAGTTGGCACACGCTCTTCCCAGAGAATCGTTTTCTCCATTTTGTTATTAGTTTATTTTCCCCGTGTTCAGATCTAGCCCAAATATTTCCTCCCCATTATACGTCTTCAGTTCAGGCCGTCTGTCTAGCGCCATTGATGCAGTTGAAAGTATCCTCTGTCCTGATACTCTAATATGAGCATTACAGTATAGTAGCATTTTACATACGGTTAGACTTTTTTCTTCCTGTTGTAGCCAAATTCCTATGTCAGGAAATCAGCTTGTTTTAAATGCAGATTATGAGAGTGAAAGTGGCAGGATGAGTGAGTTTTAGTTTTTTTTTTTTGGATAGTCTTGTACCTTGGTCCAGCCACCCAGTTGCTTTACTTTCAACTTAACGGATTTGGATGATTAAATGTAGCCCTATTTTGCCATGAAGAGTTTGGGGAGTTTTCAGTTATATTGTCTTTTCCTGTCCTCTTAAAGAGATGTGGAAAGCATCTGCTCTCAACCTATACCATTTTTAGAGCCAATTTACCTGGTTTGTGTTTTACTTGAGGAGCACCTGATTTTTAAGCAGTGCAAAACATTCGATCCTTAATGGTTTTGTGAATCATTGGATATGGATGCAAATTCCAGAGATTCAGCAAATAAGAATCACAGCCTTATAGCTAGCTGTCTGTGGCCATTGGCCACAGGGATTCTAAATAAGTATTTTTTGAGTGTTGCATGGGTCAGGCTCTCTAAAAACTTTATTTTTTAATTAAAAAATTTTCAGACACTTCTGAGAGATTTAATAACTCAGTAGTCCTTACAACTCTGAGGTAGGTGGTAGTATTCCATTTTACAGATGAGAAAACTGGGGCCCATTTACCTGGTGTCAAATGGCTAGTGAACAGAACTCTAAACTCAGGTATTTTAGCTTCATAGCATCTCTTGACTGCCATGATCTACAGTTTGTTCATGTTCTAATAGATATTTCTTCATTACTCTTAAGAGCAAGCATAATCATGATCTTTTGTGTTCAAGGTTTTCTTACTTGAGGTGAAAATTTCTAGTTATAGTGTACTTCCAAATTTTGAGCATAAAAAATGACCAGGGGAATTAAAAATGCAGATTCCTTGGGTTCAGTTTTCTTTTTTTGAATCAAAATCTGGAGAGGGTTCTAAGAAGCTCCTCCTATCATTCAGAAACAGGTGACACCAAAGACCACTCTGAAAAACAGTGGTTTCGTAGGCAGTATAGGGGGTGGGGTAGCATTATATAAGGTGGTTTTGAAACTTCTTTTAGGAACTAAGACAAATATTCATGTCGTAGGATTTATTTTTTTGTTGTCTACTGTTTGGTGCCATCAGGTAGAGACCTGCTGAAGAAATAAAGTATTGTTCTTCCTCCCATTTGCTCTTTCTGTACTGTGCCAGGATGCACCTGTTAGAGGGAGAGGCAGCGTGTCAGACTGCTGAACCCTCCAAGAATATACAGCTGATTCTGGAACAACACGGGCTTGAACTGCATGGGTCTGCTTACATGAGGATTTTTTTCAATAAATACTTGTACTGTTTTCCATCTGCAGATGCAGAGGGCTGAGTGTGTGTATTGATCTGTGCCATTTTATACAGGGGACTTGAGCATTCTCACGTTTTGGTATCTGGAGCGGGAGGTCTTGGAACCACTCCCCCTTAGATATTGTGGGACAACTAAGTTTTTGGGGAGTCAAGTTATATGGATTTTTGACTGCATGGAGGTCAGCACACCCCCCTCCCTCCCCCAGCTCCCCCATGTTCAAGAGGCAACCTTGGCCTGGCTGGTGTGGCTCAGTTGGCTGAGTGTTGTCCTGTGCACCAAAAGGTCACCAGTTTGATTCCCGGTCAGGGCACATTCGGGATGTTTAATCCCTGGTTGGGGCGCATGTGAGAGGCAACTGGTCGATGTTTCTCACATCAATGTCTTCTGTCTCTCACTTCTTTTTAGGTCTTTCTAAAATTAATAAAAACATTTTTTAAAAAGAGGCAACCTTTCTTTGTTCTTAACTTTTGATAAAATAAAGACTAAATCTGTATTTATTATTGGGAGAGTTGGGTATGAGGGGATGCCACTTTTCTTTTGAGGTTAGCAAACATTGTTCTGACGTTATTACAATAGTCTAAAGGTAGAATACTACTTGTCATTTGAAAGTAGAACGAGCTATTCATTTTATCTTAGGAGTTCTTGTGGGCTCTGGTTATAGTCATGTTCTGCCATACATGTTCCCTACAGGAGTGTGGTTCCCAAAACTGTCCTCATCCCAGACTTAACACATCACAGTCATTAGGGTGAGGCTAGGCATGTGTATGTCTAAGAAGTTCTTTATTTTATTTTTGAATAGTTGATTGTTGTTGTTTTTTTTTTTAAGAGAGAGAGGAAGGGAGCGGGAGTGAGAAACACTGATGTGAGAGTGAAACATCCATTGGCTGCCTCCTGAACACCCCCTACCTGAGATTGAGCCTGAAACCTGGGCATGTGTCCTGACCAGGAATTGAACCGGCAACCTTTTGGCACAGGACGATGTCCAACTAACTGAGCCACACTGGCCAGGGCTCTAAGGAGTTCTTTAAAAGTTTTAGATTAGGTGGAGTATGTATTTTAGAATTGAGAGAAATACCAAATAAAGATTGGTTTAAAATGATGGAAACAAAGATGCTAATGATGGTAACATAGTGCTTACTTGTTGATGTTAGAAACTACGCCAATTATTTTATAAACATCTCATTTAGGTCTCACAATTATCCTGTGAAGTAGATTTTTTTTTTTCTGATTTCCAGATAAGGAAGTAGGCTCCGTAAAATTGTCCCTTTGTCCAAGGGCATGCAGTGAGTTAGTAAGGGAGATGTATTTTGGTTCTAGGTGTCTGAATTCAGACCCAGTATTCTTGACTTACCCCGTTTTGGAATGTGATTTAATCCAGAGCAGTGGTCTGATATGAAATCACTCAGAGGTTTAAAGAAACTCTCAACATGCACCTTTTAATTTTTCAAATTTTAATGAGGTATGATTACATACAGTAAAGTGCAATTTTGACAAATGTATATACTCATGTAATAGGAGAACATTTTAATCAAAGGCCCCAGATATGCAGGAGATGTGAGAACCCGGGATCATCCCATCCATAGCAGTTGGGATGAGCTGGCTCTTTCAAGGTGACTCCCAAGCAGGTTGTAGTTGCCTGGGAGATCTTTTGGACTTAACTGATTTTGGGCTCATCCCAATTATAGAATATCCTTAACCTCCATTAGTTTAGAAAATAAAGCTTTTGTTTGTAGCTTGATAATTTTAAACTAGAAAATGGATTGCTTTTCCTTGGCTTTGGGAGAGCGTCAGTGTTGGCAGAATGGAACTGGTGCTGGGTCCTGGGGAGACTGCCCTTCATCAGATGCAGTGTTCCGTTTTCAGTTGGGGAATTAGGAAGGGCTGCCCAATAGAAGCTAGGGAAAAGGTTGAATATGTTGCTTTGTAGCCCATTTTTGAGAGACAAATGGGAGAGGATGCCTTTTGGCTTACTAACTTTAAATGAAATCGAAGTAAACATGACCCCTCTTTTGGATATATAACATATATAAAACATTAACTAGGTCCTAAAAATAGTCCCATTATGCAGCTGTATAAAATAAAATGATACATTTTGTTATTTAAGGGACCTTATGTATGAATCATGTATTTAGATAATACGATAATACAGTTATTCAGTGTTGGCATCCCAAACTTCTGTTTATCTGGGGGAACCATAAGCAAGAAGAGATGTATGCTATTAAAAGTAATTGCTTAGCCCTGGCTGGTTTTGCTCAGTGGTTAGATCATGGGCTCTCGGACTGAAGGGTCTTTGGTTCGATTCTGGTCAAGGGCACGTACCTGGGTTGTTGGCTCAATCCCTGCCCCAGTGGGGCACCTGCAACCAATCGATGTGTCTGTCTCACACCCATGTTTCTCTCTGTCTCTCCTCCTCCCTTCCAGCCACTAAAAATCAATGGAGAAAATATCCTTGGAAGAGGATTAACAACAACAAAAAGGACTTGCTTAAAAACATTTTGAAAGGAAGACAAGGAACAAGATAGTAGACTGTAGGCTGTTGGAGAGGAACTTATCAAGTAGTAGAAAGAATGACTATCTTAGCCCTAACCGGTTTGGCTCAGTGGATAGAGCGTCGGCCTGCAGACTGAAGGGTCCCGGGTCCGATTTCGGTCAAGGGCATGTACCTGGGTTGCGGGCTCATCCCCAGTAGGGGGTGTGCAAGAGGCAGCTGATCGATGTTTTTCTCTCATCGCTGTTTCTAACTCTATCCCTCTCCCTTCCTCTCTGTAAAAAATCAATA